CTGATTTGCTGTTTAACTTTTCCTTTTCTCTTCCTTTAAGTCACTCAATCATCTTCCATTACTATCTTCTACACTTTGTTAAAGATAGTTTCAGTATGTCCCATTTCTGAGAAAAATATCTCCAACTAAATTTCCACCTTAGTTCCCAGCTGGCTTTTTTTGTTGATTAGGTCACAAAAGGTTTCTGGAAGCTAAATCAGATATGTTAGTGTTTGTGACTAAAGTCGTTTAGCTCTAAATCCATATATCTGTGATATCTGCTATAAGATGAGAATGAGTTTTAAATTGATCTTTAAGTGTTGAACAACTGTGTCTACTGAAGCATTTTAGACATTTCTTCTGAATCTATCACCTCATGTCATAGGTTGGTCAACTTTCATATTTTCTACATACACATTTTTTTTTTCTTTCAGTGCAATGCATGCACCCCAGCCAGAAAACTCACTCACACAAGATCAATACCCTGGCACTGAGCATCTCCTTATGTAGGAAATGAGTTCATGTACACTAGGAATGTCTTTAGAATGTGTTGACTTTGGAGGTGATATTTGATTTGTTTCTGAATCTGTTGTTGGAGGCATATCCATTTACTGTCTATAGACACAAAAAGCTTTATAAAATGTAATTTGAGGGCATAAATCAATAATTATTCCCCCACCCAATAATGCTTCAGGCTTTTGCAGTATGGATTTGTTACCTTTCAAGGGGAATAATGGTACCTGGAGCACATCTGAGTCTGTGTATCACTGAACTGTGTTCTGTGGTCCTTGAATTACTTTGTGGATGGGGTAATATTGTAAATGAATGTAATGGATTGAATTGTGGCCCCCCAAATATATGTCTACCTGAAATGTGACCTCATTTGTAATGAGGGTCTCTGAGATATAATCCAAGTAAAGTCTTTGAGATGAGATCGTTTTCAGTTGGGGTGGGTCCCAAATCCAACGGCAAATCCTTAGGAGGGAAGAGAAGGGGAAACAGACCCAGACACACAGAGCAGGCCATGTGAAGCTGGGGACAGACTGAAGTCAGGGAGCTGCCAGCCAAGGAATGCCAAGGGTTGCTGGCAGCTGTCAGAAGGAGGGAGAGAGACATCAAGTGATTCTCCCCCAGGACTTCCAGAGAGAGTCAGCCTCACTGACACCTTGATTTCAGACTTCTGGCCTCCGGAACTGGGAGAGAATAAATTTCTATTGCTTTAAGCCACTTAGTCTGTGGTAATTTATCATGACAGCCCTAACAAACTAATGTAATAAAGGTTGTCAAGTGAAATATTTTACATACAGTAAGGAGCATGTTACTTAAAGCAAAGGTTGGCAAACCATATAGCCCTGTGGGTCAAATCTGGATGCTGCCTGTTTCTGTAAATAAAGTTTTATTGGAATACAGCCATACTCATTCATTTATGAATCATCTCTGGCTACTTTTGTGCTCCAGCAGCAAAAATGAGTAGTTGTGACTGAGATGTAAGGCCCATAGTGATGCATATAATTACTAATATATATATATATATATATATATATATATATATGCACAAATATATATTCATTCAAGACAGGGACAATGATAGGGAATAAGGAATTCTGTAGTGGGTTTATGACCATCCTTAATATATCTGCTTTGAAAATCTTGTACATTCATATTTTGAATTTGTTTAAAGTCACATTCTTCAATAACAGTGGAGATATTGATTAAAAGAAGTTTAACAGAAACAACTGATCTATAGGATTTGTGTAGCCTCAAGGTAGATGGTCTAAGTTCAACCTCCTCATTTTGACTTCTTGGACTTAATGTGAATTGGAAACATTATTAGCTTAGTAGGATTGAGTAAGCAATAAACATACCCTCAGAATAAGAAGAAAAGCTATCTATCATTGTATTGAAGGTCCCGTCTACCTCAGATGGTCCTAGGTGCTTTTTATTTGATTAGCAATGAGGATGCAATTTGGTGGGTTTTCTCTCTTGATGTGCGAAATTCTCCCAGGTCCTTAATGATGCTCCATGCTTTCCTCTTAACCTTTTTGCCTTTTTGAAAGCCTTTTCAAATTTTCTAGGGGAATAAAGATTTAGAAATTTGATCATTGAACTTCTATTTGAACATTTCTGATTGTCTTTGAAAACGGTTCCCTTTACAAAAATTTTTCACGTCTCTTGAAAATCCATCCACTTCAAGGGCTTTATGCAGGGAAATAATCATGGATGTACAGACATCTGGTTACAAATATGTTGACCAAAGCACAATGAAAAGTGGCAAAGAATCTAAACCTAAATTTGAAGAACAGCAGAGAATTGGTTAAACAAATATGTTGACCAAAGCCCAATGAAAAGTGGCAAAGAATCTAAACCTAAATTTGAAGAACAGCAGAGAATTGGTTAAACAAATATGTTGACCAAAGCCCAATGAAAAGTGGCAAAGAATCTAAACCTAAATTTGAAGAACAGCAGAGAATTGGTTAAACTAGGTGTAGTCCTTCCATACTGTGAGCTTACCGAAGAATGTTTAATGACATGGACAGATGCTCTTGACACACATTTAAGTGGGGGAGAGCAGAAAACAACAGTATGTTTGGTATAGAAGAGGCACGCACTCAGAAAAACAGCTTTAGGTGTTTTTTTCCATGTTTTGTTTTGCTTTTCTCTGTTATCTAATGTCTTTTCAAAGACTGTACTTTCAGTAAGAAGAAAAGAGTTAAAGGAAAAGTGAGCAGACCACCCTTTCGTGTGTTTCCATCTAGAATTCAGACTTGTTAGTTGGCGTAGAAATAACTTTTTCTTTCGCTTCCCAGAAAAATTGATAAAGTGCTTCAGTTGTTGCTTGCCAGGAGAGTACATCTGGACAGGCCACTTTCTCCCCCGAGCCTTGGTCTCTTCATTTAGAAGTGCAAGTGTTGAATTCATTGAATCTCTAGGTTCCTAGCCACCTGTTGCACTCCAGGTGGTGTGAGGCAGTGTTCAGAGCCGCCTTTCAGCCAAGCCAGCGTGCCAAGACCAGTGCACTCGAACCCGGCCACCTCGGTTGTCGAGGACGGTGCTGGCTGCCCCCCGGGCCTTTGGACCCCGGGGAAGCCCACTGGGGAGGGAGCCCGCCCATGCTTAGACTAACACAGAAAGCCTGTTGTTTTTTTTTTTTACTGGCCTGAGAGCCTTGAGTCAAGTTGTCCTTTTATGAGTGGGGTTTCTTGAACCTTCTTTGTCTCTATCAAGCTGTGGCAATGCATTTTCTTAGGGAAAACTTTTTACTTTTAAAATTTAATTTATGCTAATCAGCCCCAGATGAAGAGAGCTTGCAATTAACTTGGTGTCAATTTCATGTTCTGTGGAAGTTTGTGAAATGTTTTGTTTTAGAACAACTTACCATTTCTCTCCGAGGGGGTAGTGGGGGGAATCATCAGACTGGTAAACAGTTTTCAGAAAACATAATCCCCAGCATTACAACTAGCCTCTGTAGTTTTGGCTGTCTTCATTGGCGTTTAATGGGCCCATCCTTTTCTCTCCTCCGCTCACTCCTTCCCAGTGTCTCTGCCTGCATCCCAGCGTTCCCGGAGCTGCCCAGGATAAAAGATATTCCCTGCTAAGATGCTGAACTGTTTCCCCCGTAAGACTTAACTTTTTCCAGGATAGGCATTGTGATTTTGCTGAGCATTGTGCACAGTGACCAAAAAGGATTTTAGGTTCGAGTTACAGAGCGCTGCAGCAAGCCCTCTCGAAAGGCAAATATGTTCCTGAAGGCGGAGTCTTTCCAAACACGCTGTATTTTTTTTTTAACCTGCACAAGTTCTCCTTTTGCTTGAAATTACTAGCTACCAGGCTCAAGAACAGGGTGTGCTTTGTGTATTAGTATGGTGGGACTTTCTTGATTTGGAACATGGATATTGATACACACAGAGATGGGAAGGGAGATGACAAAAAAGAGTTGAAGCGACCCATAGACTGTGGTGCGTCTGCTTGTCTATACCTCCATCCGTCCGTCCGTCCATCCATCCATCCGTTCAGCAAATACCAACTGACAGCCTGCTAAGTTGCCATCACAGTTACAGGCATGGGGAACGTGGTGTGACTAAGGCAAAGTCACCTGCTTTGTAGGAGGTCGAACTTACACCATGTGTAGTGGGAGACGCAGATAAACCGCGAATAGATAAATAAACACTGTCATTTCAAGTGAGAAAAGAAAATGCTGTAAAGGAAAGTAGCACAGGGTGTGGGGTGAAGGCGGAGGGGGACATTCGGGGAAGGCTCTGTGAGGCGGTGGCCTAAGGCGAGACTGGGCAGGGGTGATGCCCCAGGGGAAGGCGCCGGCCTGGGTGTCCGACCACGTGCTCATCTCGCCTCTGCCACGGGCAGTGCACAGGGGGCAAGTGCCTCAGGGCCCCTCCCTCACCCAGCTCCTGGGATAGTAAAATGATGCATGTGACTGTAGCATTGCAGAATAATGTATCTAATGTGTTATGATTAATAATGCTGAGGCTTGTTGCATGATTTGCATTTAAAGTACCTCTGGAAAAACCGTGTGTGGGAAGTACTTTTTAAAAGGTATTTTATTTATGGAGTGGGGTTGGGGAAGAGAGAGAGAAACATTGATCTGTTGTTCCACTTATTTGTGGACTCACTGGTTGCTTCTTGTGCGTACAAGACCTGTGCGCCCTGACCAGGGATCACACCTGCAGCCCTGCGTGTGGGGACGACACTCTGACCCACTGAGTTCCTGGCCAGGGTGCTGGAAGGACTTTTAGCTTTTGCTGTTAGATCATGTCTGTGGACAGCCAAACTCAGGCTTTCTAGCATCCCACAAGTCTCCAAGGAGAAATCCTCCAAACACTGAGAATGAGAAAAGGAGGATGCCCTTTGTCTTTTCATCGGGTGGAGTGTTTTGGTGTGTGCGTGTGGGGTCTTTCTGAGGGGGCAGAAACAAGCAGCAGCGTCTTCCAATGCACAATAAAACAGTTTATTTAAAAACAATGCATTCAGTACTGTGTTTGGCACGTGAGGCAATGAGGCAGGCACATTCACACTTAACAGGTACACGTGGGGAGCTGTCGAAGCAAATCGTTGCATTTTCTTCACGAACTATACAGTCACAAAGCACACGCAGTTACCTCTGTGAGAGAAGGTGGCCATCCTTGCTCACCAAGAAGGCAGACGGTATTTACAGGGAAGCTCCGCAGTCCAGCAGCGCCGGCATCTCTCGGGTCTCACGGCCCTGCCAGTCTGGCAGGTCGTTTGTCAGAGCAGGTGACACTGCCTCCTGCAGGAGACGCTGAGTCTGATTCCTAAGGGCCGAGGATTCTTCTAAAGAGCAAGAAAGCTTCTGACGGGGCTGGCAGGCAGCGAAGTCTTCCGTGCCAGTCACTCAGCGTGAAAGAGCATTTTCCAAAACAGATGCATCAAGTATGGGGGGGCGGGCAGGGCTCCATGGTTATAACAACATAAGAAGCATTTATTTTTCCCTGACACACACTTCCTGCTCATTTCTTTAATAACTTACATGCACTGTTCTCATGCTTTTGGACCTTCTGGTTTCATCATTACAGAGAGCTTTGTTCCTATTTCTAAACTGATATGTTATTTAATATAATGCTAAAGTGAAATGGTGAAACCAAGCAGTTTAAGTGAGAGAAAATATCACAAACAGTCTTTTGTCTTGACTTCTGATTTATGCTTTCACAGCGGATTGTCGCCTTCCCGAGTTAAGGGTGGAGACAGCATGGCGCGGGGTAGCAGATCAGGGTTCGGGGGCTCAGACTCTAATCCCGGTTACCTAGCTGGGAAATAAGTCACGTCCTGCCTGTGGAAGCTCAGTTTTCTCATCTTCACATTGAGGCGTTGATCTGGAATCTAGACCTGAGATAACGTCCAGATCTGGGCAGTCCTGTTGTGTCCTATGTGAGTAAGTGATGCTGCGTTGTGAGATTTCAGCGGTTCTGTTCTGTTTCCTGGGTGATTTCAGTGCTAATGACTGGGTCCAAACCCATCAATAAGCTCCTTCCAGGGCGCTTGGCTGTCAGGCTGCTTCTCTGCATAGTGAGGGCTCAGATCTGGATCTTAAAATGAGGCTAAAGGGCATTTCTGACATGGAGACCAATTATTGTAAGTCTTGCAAAATGGTCTAGATTCCAGATTTCAGGGGGAAACCTCCCCTTCCTTTTCGCAAGTACATCAGTGACTTCATTCCACCCTCACACATTGAGCAAACCTCTCTCCCATCATCTACTGGTTTTCCTGTCCCACCTCCCTAGCTAACGGTGCTCTGAGAGTGGCTGGTCCCTCACGGCTGGCGTTGCTGTGAGTTTGTATATAATAAACACATTTTATTATGATTTTATTATTAAATGGGGCCTGCTGGCATGTGCTTTCTGCTTATGTTCATGGACTTACTTCTTTGGTGTCCGGTAAAGAGCCGGAGAATGAAGGCTTACTTTGTTCCCAGGCTACGTGCAAGTTGTTGTGAATACAGAAAAACACCCGAGCGTGTACCTGCTTCAGTTAAATCAAAATGTAGCTTATTCAGTATAGAGAAACACACTCATTTAGACGACTTAAGGAGAGCAGAAAACAGAGGCATACCCTGGCCTTTTAAACATCATATAGAAAATGTCCAAGTTTCAAACATTTACAGTGGAGCAATGCCTTACTGAACCTATAGGATATTTTACTACAGCAAGAGAAGCAGATTTGATCTTTCATGATCTTATTTTGATGTACTACTCAAAGAGTAAAAAACAATGGCCGCTTATTGTATATGAGGAATTAGTTACATTGTTTTTTCATCATTGCCTTCCAAAGGATCTAATTAAACCCACCCAAAAATCACTTCTGTCGAAATTAAAAAACCCTTTAATTTGCAAACAAAGCTTCCTTTGTGGCTCACCAGGGTATCCGATTTCCGCACTCTTAGTACGCAGGGTCTTCACTTAACAATGGGCTGGAGGAAGAAGGAACCTTGTCCTACTCAACACCCACGGCGCTGCAGCGGCCAAACGTTTGCTGCTAGTTGTGTTTTTCAGGGTCCAGCCTTGTAGTCGGTCACTTGGCTAAGGGCAAGCCGTCGCATGACGGACGCCCTCCTCTGCAAAGTTTGCCCTGTGGTGTTCGTACTTAGTGGTGTTTCTTGCCCATGTGGAGCTTTCCTGAGCACAACTGAAGCCCAGCTAAGTGCATACTCCACTCCTGGGCACGAGGCCTACTTGGCTGCGTGTCCCCTGGTGGGGTAGAGACGTCGGAGTTGCGGGGCCTCTCTAGGTGTGGTGGAGCCAGGGAGACCGACTGGGTGTCCTGTTCTTCCCCTGCTCCTTTGCGGGCACTGAGTTCTGGATGCCTGTGAGTTTTGTGCTGTGTCAGGGTGAGAAGCAAGTGCAGGAGGAAAATTAGAAAAGTGGGCAAACAGGCCATGGACGATAAGGTATAAAAAAGATCAGCCAAACATTGTTTCAACTGGCAGTTAAATAAGTGTTTCTGTGGAATGTCACTCTCAGAAATTAGACAAGCATGGCTAATAATCTCCTAGGGTACCGAGGAGTCTGTTGAGAGGTTCCTAAGGGTCCCATGGCTAGGAAATACATATTTTGAACACCTTAGGTCCTTAGCCTCTGAGACCCAATAATATACTAAAAATTAGTAGAATTAATCAAAGTAGAGAGCCTTACTTGGCGGGAGGGGGAACTTGGGAGTTCTCCAAAGCCACTGCTAGCTTTTCGTACTCACTGACTCGGGAGTTGATCTGCTGTTGAAAACATAGTTACGTTTTCAGCTGGTTGACATCCACTCAGCAGGGTGCAACGGGGTCTGGCGAGAGTATTTACACCACAGAGACTGGCAAGCGCTGCAAACCAGGGCCTCATGCTCCAGAGCCAGTTGTTAAACATGTAGCAGCACACCCAAGAGCTAACATTGTCTCTGGATCTCACAGGAGGGGAATCAAAGGAGCCCTGTTGTCTCTGCTGGTACAAGTCTCTGCCGTGCACAGCTGCGGAAGGAGCCCGCCCAAACTGCGTTAGGACGGGGGCACCGGAGTCGCCAGAGGCTGGCACCAGGCAGCCGGTGCCAACTGACCACCGCTCATTACATAGTTGGTCTTAGAATTTTAGCTCATGGGTTTCTTTTTTTTTGACTGGTTTCATTTTAACCTGGGGGTGTTTGTATTTTGGATGTTCCCTGGAGGCTGGGAAATCAGAGCCTTTTAAGAATATTTTAAGTTCTGGGAATGATATGCAAGTAGAATCTGAATGATTAATTTAACTTCCCTGTTTCTCTATTTGTAAAGATAAGTTACCTGAGATCTGCCTTTTAGTTTGAAATATAAGGAGTTGGCCTTGGGGTAAAATGTATTAGAGCTATGTCTCTCCACTCTGTCTTCACACTTGTTCCTATTTTGACTAAATTAACCAGTTCTGGTTGCTTACAAAGTGGTGACTGGTCAATTTACCCAAGATGGTTGAATGATTGAGTCACTAAGACTGTGTCTGTGTTGCCATGTATTCTGATAACTTCAAGGAACAGGTGTGCTACTAATCATATGAGGAGTGATAAGCATTCAGCTACTTTGGTCATAATGGTATGTGTGACTTTGCTATGTATTGTTGGTTGCCAGCATCCCAGATGCTGGCCACATCGCAATCACCTGGGACTTGTAAGCTGGATTTATCCCAGGACATTGAGTCAAAGGTCTGGGATGGGGAGTAAGAACTGCATTTTAAAGAGCTCCTCGTGTCATACAGCTCTGTTTGCTGGTGGATCAGCAGCATAATCCAGGTCCTAACCCTGTAACCCCACTGTAATCTTAAGCAGGAGTCAGTCATTCTGTCACAGGCTCTTGACTCTGATTCCAGTCCAATCAGCAAGAGAATGAGCATCATTAAGGATAAAAACATCTATTTGAACACATATCTTCAATAATTCATCACAATAAAAAGACACTTTAAGAAATACTGTATGATACAATAATGACATTCTAAAATATGCTGTGGCAAAGCGATGAGAGTGTGAAAGAGGCATATTTAGTCATTTTGGTCCTTGGTGTCAACTCACTCGTGGCCTTGATTAATTGGGCCACAGGTCGGAGACAAGTCAATCAGGTGGCCTAGGGCCTCTGAGTCCCCAGCACTTGTGGTACTCCGTCTGGGTTTCCAGCCACATGCTCATAGTCCCAACTGTCTTTGAAAGCAAAAGGACAGTTCTGCACATTCGGGGAGAAGGAGAGGCTAAACAGATACTTTTGCCTAGTACATTCACACAGTTAGGGGAAAAAAGACTCAGGGATCTAGAACTGTACAGAAAATTGCTCAGTCTGTCATTTTACACATGAAAACCCAACCCCAATTATTCACTGTTATTTGCCCATCTTAGCACATTTGAACTCAATGCAATAACACAAAGTCTGCTGTTGAAATTGCTTATAATATGGAAGGCATTGACAAAAGGTATTTTTTAACCTCATTGACAAAAGGTATTTCTTAACCTCAAGGGCCCCAGCTGAAAATTATGCATATGGAAAAGTGCATACTCGTTTATTTCAGCATTCACCTTTTAAATTATGCATAGGTATCACTAAAACAAGGTTTTATTAAGATGAATAGATTATTGGAGAAGATTCCATCTGTCAACTGTGAACTGATAGTAAATGTATTGTGATTTGCCAGAACCATAATTTACCAGGAGGGTTTTCTCTAATTTTAGGGAAGAATGGACGTTATTACCTATGGGCTTTTATATATGGAGGCAAGTGTGTACTTTGTTATTTTGCATTGAGAAATAAATGATTTGGGAGACATCTTTTTTCCTCCTTTGCAGCCTTTGTAACTTGTTTTCTGTGCCTTGTGAACCCCAGACCAAAATCACTTCCCCCTTGAGCTCATCTTCGTTCGATGGTGAGAAGACCAAGAAGCACTGGGTGAGGAGTCCCAACCTCTGCACTGATGACCTGTGCCATCTTGGGAACATCACGTAGCTTCTCTGTTTCTCCGTTTCTTGTTTGTGGAGTGAAGGGTTGAGACTAGAGACGCTCAGAGGCTTTCCCGTTTCCAGCGTCCCAGGGCTCTGCACTTCTGCCCCTGGTCCCTTTGGCCTCAGATCGGCCCCTCCTTGCTGCGTGAGAGTGCCTAATAACTAGTACTTTGCCCCAAGTCAGGAGCAGCACTCTTCTTTTCCTTGGCTTCCCCATGAGTAGGTTAGTCCTGGAGTTCACGTTCATGGGTGACTTGAGGCTTGGGCACAAGGAGGTTGAGGCGGCTTCTCCCTTTGCACATTCTGGCTGGCGGCCCCACCACGGTCAGGTGTCTGATGTACAAGTCCCACTGCTAGGCACATGACACTACGAAACAGGTCAAGTACTGAACAAGCACTTTCATAAAGGTCAAGGATATTGAAGACACAGAAGCAAAGGCAGAGGAACCACAGATGTTTAATCATCAGATATGAAAGAGATGTTCTGGGAGTGGGAGGCATTCTTGTGTCACATTTTAACTCCGTCTCCCTTGGAAATACATGTCCGCACATGACATTCAGATCGAACGATGAAAACCGAGGGACCAGCATCCAGCAGGTCGCTGCACGTCTGTGGGTGGTTTCCCCTGTGCAGCCGACCTGGTTGGTTGTACTGGTGTCATGTATAGACAGCCTAGGGCGCTTTATGGCGAAATTCATTCCAGTAGCTGAGGGTGGATTCTGCAGTGAATAACCGCAAAGAGGACAGGTTCTGACGAAAGAATGAACTTAACCTAGAACCAATGAAGCAAGGGCAGTGAAAAAGCCGATGCTCAGCTGCAGGTCCTGTCTTCCCAGGTCACTGCTGACCACACAGCCCAGAAGTTATGGTTACTTGCTCCAGCGCCTTTCATGTCAGACTCAGGGGACCCACCAGCTCTTTTGGTCATGACAGTGGTTATACAAATCTTTGAAATATTCTTGAAAAGCTAAGAGAGGTTTTGTATGACTGGCTAGAGGCTGTTTTTCTCTGTGATAGAACTGTAGGTCAGGGGCATAACTAACAAAAATAACAGTAAAAGCTGCTATATTTTGAGTACTTCCTACATGCTGAAACTGGGTAAATGCTTTACCCACATATTGTATCTATTTTTTTTGCAATAGGAGGGAGACAGACTGTATATAAAGAATTTATAAATTATGAGAATTGTGGTTAACCACTGTGGGAGGGCTTAGAGTTTTCTTCAGGGACTTTTAAAGAAAAGGGAAGGATGGTCCTTTTGGATCATCCAGGAAGTCCTGCCTGGAAACAGGATAAATCTGATATCTAAGCCCTTCTAGTTCTGAAAGATTAGCTTGTTTCCTCACATTTTGAGTTCTTGTGAAAGTGTCAAACTCATGTTCACCAGGGGCCACATCAGCCTTGCAGTTGCCTTCAAAGGGCCGAATGTAATTTCAACTCCTTGACAGTTAAGGAGTAGTTACATTTATACAGTCCTAAAATTATTTCGGTCCTTTGAAGGCAACCATGAGGCTGATGTGGCCCTCGGTGAAAATGAGTCTGACACCCCTGTGCTAGATGAAATGATATTGGGAGACGGAAAAGTCCTCTCACTATGGATTAAGATGAAAACAAGGGGGAAATGAGATTTTAAGAAAACCAGCAAACACTTGGCATTGTGATGAGATCTAAATGAAATGGCCCACCATAGACCAGTTCCCTGGTTTTATGGATTCTAGTTCTTTGATTTTTTTAACCTGCCTGGTTCCAAAGGGTCTACATATTTATATTTAGTGAAATGCAATGGGCACATTGGGATTGAAACTCCAGAGTCCAAGTGTGGCCTGTGTAATATTGGCATTAGCATTACTTGGCTGTAACCAAATGAAGAAGTGCTCGGGAAGAGCCAAGTAAACGTCTGCCAGTTACCAGTCTCATGGTGACCCCAGCAGAGCACAGCGCGAGAACTGCAGCGCGAGAACTGCAGCGCTGTCCTGTTTAAACGGGGAGCAAGCACACTGTGCTTCTGCTGTGCATCAAATTACACCACTGAATTAAAGTGTAAAAATATTTCCCCTTCCAATTATTTCAAGTATCGAGCTGTTTTCACTGTCTTCCATTTTGAAATATCCATTCCTATTCCTGTCTGTTTGGATGATTGCCATCCGTCAGTGTTGTAAGATGTGTGTGCAATTGGTTTATACGATTTTTCTTTCATTAGTGAATATCTGGATCTATGTCTGCTTCTCTGAGTAGCTTTAAAAAAAATTAAGACACCTTCTCTTCAGAACCAGGCAGAACATGAACATAAGGGCTATTTTTTTCCGTATTGTATTTGGCTTAATTTTAGGCATTATTATGTCTTCCCAAAGAGGGGTCGTGAGCTGATGACTGAACAGCAGCAGTTATTTTAAACAGTATTTGTAGCATTGCAAGAAACCTAGATGAAATTTCTGGAAAAGAACAAGCTACCCCACCCAAGTGTATTACAAAGATGCTTGACTGGCATTTGGAAAGAAGAAAGAAACTCTTATTAAAATTTAACATCAACTTGGCCAGACTCTGGCCGAACTGAAAGAACAAAGTGCTGCTCAGTGAAAAGCCAGGGCGGGGAGTGATGGGATTTCCACTCCTGAGGCTGAAATAATGAGAGAGAGAATGGCCCCCTAATTCCTTCATGGCAGATCTTCGCATCTCAAATTCCAAGAGTTATTTGTACCAGATCTTGCCACTACGCAATGGCGTTTCCTTTTGAAATGCTTAATTTGTAGATGCACTGATCTGATTTCAGTGGAAAGAGGGAATATCCAATGTCTGCATTGTCTTCGAGAGAACAGATTGTCCTGGAGCGGTGCTGGTTGACACAGTGGTAGTGAAGGTCGCCTCACCTGAGCACCGTTCACACGGGGGCCCGGCCTGGCCGACCTTGAAGCTTCTACTCTGCTTGAATCCTGCTGGCTTTTGAAGGCTCTGAATGGGCAACCTGGTTGCAGCACTTTAGACTATCCAGCATCCATAACAACTTCTAAGTATTCGTCTTCCTTCTCTCTGTGCCCCAGGTTCTTAAACTGACTCATTGCTTCTATACTCTGAGAGAACTTCCAGCCCAGTGTCTGGGTTGGGATTGTGGGAGGCACTAAACCCAGGCTGGAGCGCCCTTGCAGGTGTGGCAGCAGAATGGTTTGCCACAGTAGCACTCTGCCTGGTGCTATGGACCCACGACACAGGCCTCCTTTGTGACAGTGAAAGACGCACTGCATCGTGTGCCACTCGCCCCAGAGGGACCACTCTGCTGTAGAATGACTGTCTGGACTCATGAGACCTTTGTAAAAGGCATTTCTTAGAAAAGTATTTGTAAGGAGATCCATCATGATTTGCTCGGTTTGTGGTGAAACATCAAAGTTACCCAGATCGTTGAACACATCACATACAGATGCAACACATACAAGCAAAGCTAATTCACTATGATTCCTAGCAAATTATTAAACTCCATGGGGGTGAGGAAAGGGGGAGGGGTTGCAGGGAGAGAGAGAGGGAGAGAGGGAAAGAGAGGGTAGAGAAGGAGAGATGAGATATGCAAACCAATTTCTTATGTTTCCATTTTGAAGAGTCCAATCCCGAGCAGGAAAAGATGAAGTCCTGCCCAGATTGGCCAGAGGCCTCTCATTATGAGGACCACCTGTGAGCAAAGCTGCAGCAGCCCCAGCTCTAGTCCTCATAAAAACTGAGAGGCAGCGTATTATTAAAGTACAAGCATGAACATACTTCAGACCATTTCGTTAGCAGCATGGTTCCAAATGCAACATTCCCGTTATCAATCAAGTTTAAATCAGGCGGCTTCAACGCATCTGTCCAGTTAAGGTCCTTAAAGGAGCAGTGCAAAAGAGGGAGGGAAGACTCCTTTCAAATGGCAGACACTCCTTATAAGAAATTCTTTAGGGTTCTAATCTGGTGACTATTCAATTTGACTTGGGGCACTTTTAAACCACCATTTGGCACTTTCTGTTCGAAGTCCTTAGGCACAGTGTGACAGAGTCAGCTTGGTGAGCCCTTCCCCGTGCATGCGGTACAGCAGCTGAAACTCGGCAGGCAGCTGGTGGGACTCCTGCCACTTGGTGGTAAATTTGGTTCCTTTTTTGTCATAGTAATGGTATGGAAGATCTTCCCTTGTGTTGGGGTCAAATCCAAAAGGCCAAAATCCATACAAATGGATCTCTTCACATATTGCTGATGCAAGAGTGTACATAAGAATACCTGTGCTCAGCCGTTTGGGTGACAAATGTTTGTTTTTCCAGTACCTGTGGAACAATAAGTATAGGTCGATTCAGAGGCCAGTGGTGAAGGCTTTGATCCGAGAGGTCATTCTGACTGGGGCTGGGATGTCAGTTTGTCCAAGCAACTTAGTACTCGCTTTGAATCTACCTTTTAGACCACAAGACACCTCTGGGCAGGACCAGCCACACAAGTAGTGAGACCACGTGCAAAATGAAAATGTGTGGCCTCATTTCAAAAATTATTGAGAATTCCAGGAGGGCGGCAGCAGATTATTAAACCAAAGGCCGTGCCCTCCTAAGAGCAGGCTCCTGTGCGAAACACGGGTCACACAAGTGTGACGCCAGTTGTGCCTCCGGGTTGCCCTAAAGGGTGGTGGCTCTGACTCAGAGGTGACACCACAGAGGCATGAGAATGATGATACTTCTCATACTCCAAGGGACCTTGGAAGTGGGGAGAGGGCTGTTGATTCTAATGGGACCTCCTGTGTCACTTCCTTACCCAAACCTAGAGAGTAAATCCTTCTTCTTGGGTTTGGAAAGATTGTGAGACTTATTTTTTTATACCTTCTTATAAGATAAAATCATATCCCTTGCTCCCTTTTCTTCTGACTAGGGGTTCCCAAGTCCGTTAGCATACCAGGACCTAAGAAAAGCATACATTTTCTAACTGAAAAAAAAAAAAATTATGGTTGTTGTTCCTTCCAGGGTTAGATAGTATTTGGAAGCCTCCCTTCCCACACTGCCATGTAGTTCAGACTGCTGTGGCACGAGTGTGTGTGTGTGTGCGTGCGCGCATGTGCACCGTTGGCTGTGTAGGCAGAATTCAACTGTTCACGAGTCAGTTTTCTAAGGACTGTATTTCCTGCAAGTTTTCATTGAACCAGTGTGTTCGGTTCAAGCCTGAGGGTGGGGGACACTACGGCCAGCTCGCTGAACCTCTGGAAGGCTGGGGGCAGGGTAGGCCACACAGGCCAGTTTTGTCAAGTTTCTGAGCACATACAGTTCTTTCTTCACTTCTCAGAGGCTTTAAAGATAATCCTTTCCCCTTCCAGCTGAAATGTAAACATTCAATCTTGTTTTTAACATTCTAACTTACGGACTAAGGATGACTAGCCACCGTTCTTTTGGTGCAGCTGAACTTAAATAGAGCAACAGGGGAGCAAAATGAGGAAGTCAAAAGATCACGGGAGAGGCCGGCTTCTCATTCGGGTATGCCCCTTTCTGGGCAGCGACATTGGGTAAATAACTCCTGTTCTTTGTACCTTAGTTAACTCCTCTTTAAACTTAGGAGTTGGACTGTGTTGCCTCTCAAAAAGGTAATTATACAACCTGGGAAACTGGGACAGTCCCAGTTTTTGTCTGTTATCCTCCTTGTAATTATTAATAGTGTCCTCTTTCTCTCAAAGAAAAAGTTTCAGTTTGGACTATAAATGATGGTGTCACCCTACCTGTTAGATACCTACCAGCATATTAGATGGCAATTCCTCCTTCTATGAGAGGTCAACCAAACAGACCTTAAATTTGGAAGCTTCTAGAGCACAGGTGGCAAACACAAGGCCTGCAGGCCGAATCCGGCCCTCCACCTTGTTTTACTTGGCGGCGGTGCCAGGCTCTCGCTCAACTGTGAAGCAGTTACATTCACACAGTCCTAACATTACATGCGGCCCTTTTGAAGGCAGCCGTGAGGCTGATGCGGCCCCGGCCCCCGGTGAACTTGAGTTTGACGCCCCTGCTCTAGAGGACTATGGGGTGAGATAAAAATCTCTGGAATTCCCCGTTCTCACCAGGCCTCTCAGAGCCCACTCTATCGTGTAGTAATGCCCGGAGAGTGTGTTATGACATTTGGGCTACTTGCATATGGAGAAATCAAGAGTTGAGGCCATTTCTTCAGATGATTTAAAGAAAAAAAAAAACCCTTCAATATATCATGTTTTATAAAATGCCCCTGGATTAGTGGTTCCCAGTTCTGACTGCATAATAGAATTATCTGCGGAGTTATAAGACAGCCCAAATGCTTGTTCCTACCCTTCTCCTCCACCAGACAAAGTACATTAGAATTTCCTGAAGCAGAGCCCAGGTGACAGTGATTGTAAAAGTTATCCAAGTGATTCTAGTGGACAGCCAGAGTTAAGAATCATCGGACTAGACAAAAATATTGCATTTCTGGTCAATCTGTCTATCACATTACAGGGGATAACAACGAGCTCATAAAAACCTTTCACATATTTTGACATGCAAACCCCAAATTACAAAAGGCACATTATGCAATTTATGAGTTATCTAGGTGTTTGTCTAATTTTGAACATCTATAAAACACCCAAATATCAAATAAAAATATTTTAAGTCAATTGCATCTTTAAAAAATGCTTGATTTGCTAATTTAGCAATTGGCATTGTTGGGACATAGCTATCCATTTAAAGAAAATTCTTAGCCCTGGCTGGCATAGCTCAGTGGATTGAGCACGGGCTGTGAACCAAAGCATCGCCGGTTCGATTCCCAGTCAGGGCACATGCCTGGGTTGCAGGCCACGATCCCCAGCAACCGCACATTGATGTTTCTCTGTCTCTCTCTCTCTTTCTCTCTCTCTCTTTCTCCCTCCCTTCCCTCTCTAAAAATGAATAAATAACATCTTTAAAAAAATAGCAACTGTATAAAACATTGTAAAAAAAGAAAAAGAAAATTCTTGATCTGTGGTGATTTCCATGACTGCTTGCTGGGCTTACCACCAAGCCAGAGGACAAGGGACTAGAGGGTGGAGGCTGATGAACCACCAATCCCCACATTTGGCACTTGGTGACCAACTAGGGGTAGAAGATTGAACTTTTTCCCTGGAATGATTCATTCATTTGTTACAAAACAAAAGGAGTTTTCCCTAAACTACTAAGCTAACCACAACAACTAACTGGATAGCTCCCACCCCCAAGAGATTACGATGTTGATTTGCCATCTGGTGGGGTATGAGTTAAAGGCAATAAAATATACACACCTGTTGACATGTTGCATTATATTCCCAGGCCAAGCCAACTGGACTTTTAACTGACCTCTGTGTTCAACAAAAAAGTCAACTAATGTCCTGGTCACAGTTGCTGAAGTGTGGAAGAAAAATGCAGGGATCCAAAGAATGGCCCCATCGAGCTTTTTTAAACTGAGGAAAAAGTTGTTACGGTCCTGAATGGTCAAGAGGTTGTTGTAATATTTTTCCAGGATGCTGGGGTTGAAGGTGGTAAGGTTGATTTTTCTTCCAACATCTCTTTGGAAGGCCTCCGTGGGGGCGAAATTGCAACGGAAAACAAAATCTGACTTATCTATTTCTTGTCCACACCGGCTCCCTGTCAGGATCCCGCTATTTCCAACCACAGCACAGACATTGTAATGCTTATTCACAATGGGCGACGCATCTGGAAGCAGCGATCGGAAGTTATTGCTAATAGAGAAAACATACTTATGGTTGGAATAATCATAGTGCATCAGTTGTCCGATCCGAACACTATTCTTGGTCAAAGAAAAATTTTTTATTACATCGACATGCTGAAGAATTTCTTGCCTAAAATAAAAAGAAATTCATTAAATGTATCCCATTCAAAACTGATTTTCCATTTTACGTCTTATGCTGCCATTTCATTCAGACAAGAATCACTGGCCCATTGAATCCAAGAAAGATTACATATTCATAACTATGGTCTTTGAGGGGAGGCTGTTTCAGAATCTACACACATGTGTTAATCTCTTAGTCAAGTTGTGGATGTAATCCTTTGAGGCTGGTAAGTGGTATAACTTACAGTTTTAGTTGCCATTCTTTGGTTTTCTGTTCTACATGTAAAGCGTATTTGATTAAGGGGAAAGCACAGGCCAAACTGTGTTATAAAATACAGGGAGACACTTTACACCAGTCCTAAGAGCTCACCTTAATGTACAAACATTGGTGACGTAGAGTTTGTAACTAGGGACTACTTGTTTGCTGTTGGACTGCAGTGTTCAAGGAATATCACATGTCACTGGTGTCCAAGTAAGAGCCGAGTAGATATGAGTTGGTATAGCACTATCTATTATTAAAATATGAAAATGGTAATAGCAGTTGAATATTTAATAGAAATGAGTTGATAATCTCATTAAAGTCCTTTAAATAATGAAACAGGGGTATATTTCTACTTGATTTTATAGAAACACAGTTCAGTTGGAGATACCCAATCCTCAGAAAAAGAAGCTATTGTAAATCCCAAAAAAGTGTGTTTACTCTAAGAATTCAGAGCATAAGCAAGGCAAGGGTGATACTTAGCACTAATTTCAGGTTGCTTTCATATTGAGCTTTAAGTAAAATTAAGCATCTCTTAAAGTCTCAGCTAGTTAAAAGATTTTAGAGAGACCAAGTAACATGTTACTTTGCTAATAGATTCTCCAGTTCAAAGAAATCACATTGAATTTGATGTCCTTTGCATAAAAAATAGCAGGACTAAAATTAAGTGTTTTGTATATCACCACTTTACCTAGAATTTTATTTTTTAAAAATTACTTCATTTGTCAGAGTATGGAGCAGCATAAACTGAAATTTCAGTTTTAATACAAAACTTCCAAAGCTACCAATACTTTTCTCGACAAGCTGTTACAAAGGTAAAATAAGTTTAAAATGATGCAGGGAAAATTAATTAAAGATTACCTATTACATGGTTTTAAGAGAGAAGTTTTAGGAAAAAATACTGTTCTGGCTGGTCATGTGGGTCATATTGCCTAGTGTGGGAGAATATTTTTATTGAATTAGGAACATGTTCTAGGAAAAGATGTAATGTGCTCTATACATTGAAGTTTTCCAGGTTTTCTATAAAATTAATATTGGATTAAATCCCCCAAAGTTTAGAAAAGCACTTTTGGGGTTTTAGAATTAATCAATTATTGTCATAGACTAATTTCTAATTAAAGAGTATTTTAAAAGTTTTAATCATAATTACATGATTATATCAAAAAAGTATGTCAACTTTTTAAGTAAATGACACTTTCATGACACTGTGGATATCTACTAAATTCGTTTTAATTCTGTCATTAAGTTAAAATAAAAAAGAGAGAGGGCAATAACTAAATATGCTATGACCAAAACTCAAGCCCCTGAGTAGAGTGGTAAAATAAGTATTTAAAATAGGTATTCACACTCCTAATGAATACACTAGATTGCCTACATTCCATTTAGCAGCATAGTAACTCTGCCAAGAAGGAAGTAGAAATGACTTATGTGGGGTTGCTAAAAGTATACCAGAATCACTGAGGAGAATAAATAAATTTAATAAGTCTCATCCTTCTTTCCCACCTCAACAACCCCCCTAAACTCCCAAACCAAAACCTCAGCTGCTACTCCTCCACCCCCAATCAACTCCCTCAGGTATAAAGGGCGCTGCTACAAGACAGGAATGATGCTGGGCCGCTTTTACAGCACATTAAAAGCTTACAGCTCAATGGAAACAAACAGGCAACACCAAAACAAAACCATTCTTAAATACCAGCATGTGTTCAGACCAAGGTTTTCACCAGTGATTCAACGGGGATGGACTAGAGTGTTTTCTGTGTGTTTCAATGAGATAATGAGACAGTACTTTTTTACTTATATTTTTTTTCCAGCAGGGGAATGAAAATGCCTTTTAACAATTAACTTTTTTTTTAATAGATGGTTTGGGCAGTGTTAGCCATGCATGTTAACTATAAATCATGGTGTTCAACTAAGCCCGAGTTAGGGAAGATACTGGAAATATTTTTTTCTTCCATTCAAATTGGTCTTCCTGATGTTCTCTTTCCTATTTTTATTTTTTTGAGAGGGCACTGCATGCATAAAGGGCTACCAGTCAGCCTTTGTACAGTCAGGCCAAGAAGACAATGCAGATACATCTCAGGGTGGGAGACAGAACTTTGCTGTTCTGATGATTTTGTTTCCTTTTTTGAGCTCTAGAATTCAAACACCTTTTGGGTCTTTCCCCCCTATCCTACCTTTGACGTAAAAATGCCGTCCGATTAAATGTCCACTTAGAAGGTTTCTCTTGGAGTTCGTGGGTCAGAGAATTCGTAATGGGCACAAATGACGGGTTTAGAAACTTCAGCGCGAATTGCGACCTGGAGAGGAGTGTGAGGACAGACAGACGAGCTGGCCTCAGCCGGGGGAGCCCCGCGAGGCCCGCCGGCGGGGGGCGGGGCAGCTGGCGCTCGCCCGGGCTCCCTCCCGCCCCGAGGCCCCTCTCGCTGGTTTCCCCCTCTGCTCTCCACCCTCCCCCACACCCCGTAGTAAGAAATAAATCCGGGGAAATCCGTCTCCTTTGTCCATCCCTCCGGGTGCCGGAGAGACCATAAAATGGCCGTCTGCGGAGCACAGGGGCGGGAGCGGGCGCCGCTGGAGCCCGCTGCGCAGTGAGGACCGTGGAGTCAGCACCGCGGACAGCGCCCGCCCGCTCCGGGCTGGACCCACGCAGTCGGCAGTCCGGCAGTCCGGCAGTCCGGCAGTCCGGCAGTCGGGGTGAAATGATTTTTGGAGCAAGGGCAGAGGAAACCAGAGATCTAGGGGAAGGCTGGGGGGTGGGTCCTGCCTTAACCTCTTCCTTCCCGAGCTTGGGTCTACTTTCATTTCTCGTTTTCCGACCGGGGATCCCCGGAAGCCACCGGCCAGCTCCGCTCTTCCGCCTAGGTGGGGCTTCTAGGTTTTGCACCTCTGGTCCGACTTGGACCACAGATTGCAGCTTGCATTTGCCACCCACCCATCAGGTGGCCTTGTTAGGAGAGCTCCTAGAGGTCAAAGGTAGGGGCAGGAGGTTCTCCTTGAAGGCCCAAGCCACACCTGGCGCCTGCCCCCTGCCTGGTCCAGCCTTGCTCCTGGCACTTCCTTAGACCTGGGGTGAGGGAGGGCGGCACTTAGCCGGGCGGGGAAATTACAGAAAAACTGGAAAAGGGAGGGGGAGGAGGAATGGCACCCGGGGTGAAGGGATCATGGGGCTTGGGAAGACTAGACTCTCACCACAGTTGATGGTATGGGGGGTGAGGAGATTGCAAGGGGAGTGCAGCGCCTGCGCCATTAAGCCGTCTCTGACCAGGCAGAGTCCAGCCTCAGAGTGAAGTCCCCAGACAGGGCCCAGGGAAGGCGCTCACCTCACCACGCACGTCCATCTCCCGGCTCACCCCCCCCCCTCCCAAACACACACCTTGCCTCTCCTTCCACCACCATTCTCCTTAAATCCTACCCCCATTTTGGAAGTGGGGGAGGGGATGCCGAGGTATATGAGAAATGCAATCACATCCATTAGTACAATGGAGTTGCGGGGTTTGGGATTAAAAAATAAATAAATAAAACGGAGGAGGGAGGGAGAATTGGAGAGAGGAGTGGCAGGGCCCCACAGTTTATCTTGCCCAAAGTGTCTAAGAGAACCCAAAACATCCCCTCTCATCGCCCCCCCCCCACCGTCCCCCCCTCCAACCCAGATGCCCGAGGGCGCTCAGAGGCCCTTACTCACCGGAATCCCGCGTGGAACATGTACATTCGGGGCGCCCCCGGGCTGGCGTACTTGGAAGTGGTGAAGATGTTCTCCTTTTTCAGGGACACGTAGCTGATGAGCGATAAAATCAGCAGGGCAACGCTGAGCATGACCAGCCCCAGCACACTGGCGACCCGGGCCATTTTGCAGTTTCTCATCCTGGGCTGGGCTGGTATCAGAGACAGCGGGGAAATCGGTCCATTGAGCAGCCAGCAGCTCGCTGGCGTGTCAGTGTGTGTGTGTGTGTGTGTGTGTGTGTGTTCGCGCGCGTCAGCGTGTGTGGCGGGGGAGGGGACCGGGCCGGGGAGACACAGAGGGAAGTGGGAGGTGTGGGGGCGGGCTGGGGAGCCGGAGAGAAGTGGGACCCCTAAGGCTGGGGCAAGTGGGGCGGGAGGCCAAGCAGGAAGATGGAGGGTCTGCGCTGCGGGCCGAGCTGGAGCACGCAGCACCGTGCGCCTCCGGCCGCAGGCTCAGGCTCCCCCACGCGTTTCCAGCGAGGCTGCCATCTCCTCCGCCGCCTGCAAGATAAATGTGATTGGAATAATGTTACGGTTCGATCTAAGCACAGGATTTAATTAATGAACTCTAATCTCCCAAATAACCGGGGGAGGGGCGAGGGAGGAGCGGGAGAGGGAGGAGAGTAGAGGTGGAGGAGGAGGGAGGGGAGTTGAGGCTGGAAGGCTGCAGCCCACTTCAACAACCTCCCGCCGAGGGGGCAGGTGGGGAGGTGGCTGTGGATAGACAGAGGCCCAACCAAACTCAGTTTAATGGACCATTTGTTACTTTGTAAATATATCACAGAAGAGGGAGACACATGATTGGATTTGCTGTCCTGGAGGGTACACACCAGCTGAGAGCTTCTGAGAGGCAGGGAGACTAGTTTTAGAAAGGCAGACATTTAAACGCTTCTGTCTTCACGAAGGAGCACTGCCCTAGGTGCCACAGGGTAGCACTCTCCCCTGCTCCCCAGCACGGAAGTCCTAACCAGAGGTTGGCCAACCTGACTCGTGAGTATTTAAGCCTTCTTGGAATTTTCCAGAAACTCTCCTTTGCCTTCTAAGCTTACTACATGCTTTGCTCCTCTCCAAAAAATAGGTAGTGCTTCATAAAGTACTGGCTCCCCCTCCTCTGCCCGAAGCCCAGCAGCCCCAGCACACCACAGGTGGCCAACAGCAGGAGGCCGTGTGTTGACCAGGCCCAGAACAGTTCTCCCCTCTTTAACTTGAACTCTGCATTCCCCACTTTTCTGACCCATCCCTGTGCCCAGGCCTTGAGCATGGGCCATCTAATCTAGTCCTGAGAGGCCTAGAAGATGAAGGCATTATAAATCTTGTCCATTATAAATGCGGAACTCACTTTTGAAGGAGCCCAAGACCCAGGTAAGAGAGGCTGCTTCTGTGGGTGGAAAGGAAGCTCATTGCCTGATGCTTTGTATTCCTTGACCTTCAGTTTGTTTTAGCATATTCATATGTTGCCTGTTGTAGTATCCATTGGAAATGGATATGAAAATTAATCCATTCTTAGTCAGGCTGTTGCTCAGAGGCAGGCCACATGTTTCTTTATCTCTTTCCCTTGCAAATAGCTTGTGGCTTCCTCCACCCTAGCTTCCCTCTCGGCTTGGCTCTCTCAACACCAGGCAGTAAGCACTAATGAAAGAAGCTGGAGATGAGAGATTGGCCTTCAAGAGCCTTTTCCAACGAAGCAAGTTGATATTTTCCAAGTTGGTCACGATTTCTTTCTCTCCCGAACTTCTTGTCTTAGGGGTTTTGGTGGACTAACCTTGTGGTCTGTGGGCTGTGGGTCCTCCAAAGGGCGCACCCCTGGGCCGTAAGCCCCTGCAGAGCCAGGGCCCTGTCTCCTCCCTCCCTGTTGCTACGCATGGCGCAGCCGCTGTCTCGTTGGAGGGCATGCTTCGTAAATGCTCGAGGACCGGGCGGGCTCCCCTGTGAGAAACATCTCCCTGGTTCTGGACGGCGAGACACCAGGGGCAACCGTGTGTTTCCAGTGACAAAGGGAACTGGTCATTTTGTATCCTTTGAAGACATTTTATATAAAAGTCTAAAAATGTGGGTCAAGAGGACACAAATAATCCTTTCATGGGGCATTTTATTATTTAAAAAATTTTAGAAAAGGTCTGTGCTTCTGTACATGATGAATCCTTGAACCATACTTTTGAATAATTATAGTTTTTTTTAAACAGAAGATCTTAAAAATATAGTATAAAATGCCAAAAGCAGTAAGATGTTACGAGAGCTGTCTAGGAACTACACATGTTGGGAAAATCTACTTGGACAAGAAGAAGTCAGGGAACGAGCTCAGGGCGATGGCCACACCTTCCGACTCCGGAGCCAGCAGACTTGACTTTAAAAGCTTACTCTGGCACCCATGGGCCGTGTGACCTTGGTGTGCCGTTAAGGGGCACGCATGAGATCGTGGCCGCTTAATTTGGAGGTTTGGATTCGCAGAAAATAAAGACCTCAAGTCAAAGGTGAATAGTTAAGCACTTTATTGAGCAAGAACAGAGAAAAGCAAGAATCTAGAGGGTACATCACCAGACAGGACGTTACCAACACCTGAACACAGACACTGGGGAATCCTGGAGACAGCAGCATTCAGGGTTCGTCTGGGAACAGTCCCGGGCAAAGCGTCCTTCCCTTGGGTGGGATTCCAAAGTCTCACTTTGGGGCTCCAGTTAAATGTGTTTCAGGCAAAAGCGGCTGCACGCCAAGGGCCCTTCATGACTTGATGGACCAACCAGTTCTTCCCCAAGGGAATAATGAGTGTTTGCAGGGACTGAGTTAAAAATCAGTGGTGCTTGGTCTTCCTAGAAGGGCTAGTTCTCCCCGGGAGACAGCACACTCACATTTCATTCTTACAGTAGAAGGTCACGGCTTGGGCATAAACAGGGAGGATTCTTAATACTTCTTTAACCTGTCACTCCGGTAAGTTGTCACCCTCTCTGTGTCTTTGGCGCCTCATCTGCAGAACCAGAATGAAAACCTCCCAGGGTTTGGGGGAAGATTAAAGCATGTGAAGACCTTGGCCCAGCTCCTGGCCTGTATTAAGCAGTTAATAAATATGAGCTAAATAGAGCTAGGGCAAGTTTTTAGTGTCTTTCTCTGTCCCATCCATGTTCCACTACAAAACGCATAGGAAAGGTTGTACTGGGCGAGGCATTTTTCTATAGAAAATGGCAAAGATCAACAAGTTCTTCAGTTCGCCTTATAAAACAGTGTTACAGGCTTTCCTGGGACCAATGATATGAACTCATTCTGTTTGGATTTCAAAATGTATATATTGCTTGTACTCAGCACACCTCTGTGCGCCATCTAAACAAAGTCCTACTGGGGCGATTCCCATATTGCATGTGGGCCACTGAAAGTCATATGATATAAAGGAACTAAACTGGCCAGCAAATCAGCAGGCAGGCGGGAGCCCTTGCCGCAGGTGCCAGGCCTAGAGGTGGAGGTGGGTTGCTCAGTAGTCCCTGGAGGGGAAAGTCCAGGGGATGGCGCTCCAAAGAGCGGCCGCGGCTGCTGGACGCGGGACTTTCTGTGCCTGGGATGACAGCTACTTAGCACATTAGAAACTAATAATGACATATTTCTTTAAAATTTACCAAATCAGGCCTGTACAAGAGGAGAGGAGGGTGAAAAGAAATACAGAAATGAAAGTCCCCCCGCCCCCGCCACCCCGATGTAATGTCTTTTAGGGGAGTTGTTTTGGACACAGTACTTCCCTCTCCCACCCCAGCGAGTGCCCACCCTTGGCAAACATGTCTCTGCTGACGTGTGTGGGTCCTTACCAACTAAGTGTAACTTCCCCACTCGAACGGGGAAGGCTGGGAACGATGGTGTCTTTTGTTAAAGTGTCCCGATTCACTCATTTACTTGTGTTTTCTTTCATCAATTTATTAAATAAAATACATTGGTGATCGGGCACCATGCTGGGTAGGTACAGGGGCTATAAAATCCTCCTTGACCTCATAGTGCTTATGGTCTTGTGGGGGAGGGAAGAGGGCGCCCCCCCCCCGCCCCCCCCCACAGCCCTCTGTGCGGAGTTCTGCAATAGAAGGCTGACGAAACTGGGAATGGACCGTGCCTGCGAGAGGTTGGTAGGGCTCTTCACAGAGGGCAGCATCTGAGCTAGGGGTTAAAGCACAAGTGGGATTCATGAGGTAAGGAAGTTGGAGAGGATGTTCTAGATAGGGGGAGACCAGGAGGCAGGGAAGGAAGGCAATGGAGGGCTTGGGGGAAAGCAAGAGGCATGAGGCGGCTGCCACAAGAGAAGAGCCTAGAAAGGGGGCTGTGGTCGGACTGGGAAGGGAGAGGGCCGTGTTCTCTAGCATCGCTGCTCAGACCGTGCAGTGTTTACCGAGAGGCTCAGTCTGGCTGCACTGATTGGATGCAGGAACAGCTGGAGTCAGGCCCCCCGGGAGATGGAAGCAGGAGCTGCTCTTGTGGATGTCAGCTGACCGCCCAGTGGCTCACCGGCCTGTCCACATGCTAGAAGCCACAGTGCCTTCATCCATCAATGAACTAACAGGCCACTTTCTGTTACTAGACACTCCCGAATAAGGCATCCTGGGCTGACTTTTGGGTGGGGCGAGTGACCCCTCCTCGACGACACAGAGGTCATAGTCCAGTGAGCTTGCAGGGAGTCAGTGGGGAAGCTGCTCTTTGGCCACGTGTGACTGGAGTGTTTTCTGCACATCGTTGCCTGACTTCTTAGTTTCGGGTAGACCTAACCATGGCCACAGAGGAAGGATCTTGGAATCCTCTGGGTTTCTACCTCCTGCTTCCTCACAGAAGATAAATACTTTATGAGTTCAGAGGTTGGAAAAGCCATTGTGGTCTAAAAAAGCTTCACAGAAGCTCTCAGATGGAACTGAGAGTAGCAAGACGCACGGAAGTGTCCAGGGATGGAGACGGCGGGGCAGGCAGGGACCGCAGGTTGAACAGAGACGGGCGGGTGAAAGAGGGAAAGGCACGTTGAGGCCAGTGACTGGGTAGGCCCTCTTGGAGTAAAGTGCAAATGCCCAAGCTGCAGAGAGCTCTATGGGCCAGGCGCTTTTTATATGTTATCGGTACTCTCTGCCCTTGACCTGAGGAGGAAGGCATAATTGTCCTCACTTTATAGTTGAAGAAACGGATGTTACAGACTTGCTCAAGGTAAAGCCTCTTTCACTGTGAAGCCCACAATTTCTGCCTTTGCATACTGCTTGGAACCAGTCCTACAGGCTTATGCAAAAGAGCTGGAAACGTGTGTGTGTGTGTGTGCCTGGGAAAGTGGGAAGCCTCATCCTCCGGCAGTGAGAACCACTTCACAGTACTGATGATGATGCTGTCATTTCACATTTATTTCATATCTGCTCTGTGTCGGGAATTCTATTAGGCATTTTACATAATTGAGCTCATTCAATCTCTGTTTCACCCCTCTGAGGATAGGAGGACTGCCACCATTTCAAGA